CTCTTTAAGGTATTTTGAATATTCCGTAATAAGATTTTTTCGCTCATTGATACATGACTTCTTTTACTACAAAACCATACAAAATGTTAACTGCAATTTTGTTAAAATATCACTTGCACACTGTTTCTTCTAACCGCTTCATATGCAAATATTAAAACTGCTTGATGTATCGATGAAATCATATAAACACATTCTTAGTGCAATCAAAGTAGGTAAGTCTTAGCCAACCAATAGATCTAAATTTATCAGCAACTAAATGGTTGAATTCGCTTGCTGCTAACCATAACTATTGTTGCACAGGGTATTATTATTTTATCATGATTGGTCATTCTTTAGATGCATTTGTGTCAACATTGCGTATGAAATAGAGTTGTGTACTTGAGACTGACAATATCTTTTCATTGTTATATAAATCGACCTTATGCAGAGAGCACGTGTTTATATTTCAGCGTCGGCTTTAATTACGTTTTTTACTTGAAATCCGCAGTTGGTTATACAAAGTGCCTACTCAACATTTTAGAAAAATATTTAGTGCATTTTAATATTATTGATACATTAGTATACAAATTATGATTTTGCAGTCAGCAAACTTTCATTTGCATTTTACTATAAAATCATGTATAATGACAAATAAATCTTGCAATTTTCTTTCTGCTCTTTACAGTGATAAATATATCATAGACGCCTTGGTGGTAATCAAATTTTTCTAAATGGCAAAAACTGAATTTATGATTTCTTTAAATAAACCATCTCATATATACAGAGTGTCCTATTAGCATGAAATCGTTTCGTCCCGCCTAAACAGTGTGAGAAAATCAGAAAGGACGTTTTCCTTCATTTTACAATCTGCATACTCAAAAATAATTAAAAAAATACAGGCTGTCCCATAAAATACTTCAATTTTAGTCGTCAAATTTAGTTTTTTGATACCACACCCAGATTTTCTGAGATTTGTATTTTTGATTCAAATTTACCCCATAATTGACCGTTTGCTCGTATCGATAATCGGATATTTCAATTTCTTTCTGATAAGCTTCAAGGGGTATTTTGAAAGAGTGCTTCTCATAAATTGTAAAGATATTGCAGTCTTATAAGCCATCAACGGTAACATAGTTGTTCTCGACAAAGGGCAAAACACGGATTTTCGCAATCGTATCGCGTATCGAACATTTTTTTTTTAATGGGACATAACACGAATAATAAGAAATAATAAATAATAATTTATGAGACCGAAAGTCCAAACGCCCCCTGGCGGCTAAATTATAACTACACTTTAACAAGTAAAATTTGACATTTGTTTTGCTTAGTTGCACTCAGCTTTTGCAAGCCTTTAGACAAATAGAATAATAGTTTTCGAAACAAGTGCACATACTTAACACGAATTATAAGTTATAATAAATAAAAAAATAAAAGCGTCAACTTCATATTTTAAATTTGATGTCAATACCATTTTTGAAATTGTTACGTTTTAACGTTTGCAGTTTTTCAAAAGCGTACTTTTGTAAGCATCATAGAAATACATCTGAAACAATGAGTGTTGAACATTTAAGTGCTGTTTTCACGGTATGGTGTTTGTATAAGATGCATATTTTGAATGAAATTTGCGCTCTTTAAAAAAATCGTGTTTTGCTTGTTGCAACATCGGCGAGCGCAGAAAAATAGACCAACCATTTGAACGACTTTGAGACTGAACTTGCGATAAAGTTATAATTTAGAAATTGTAAGTAAACTTTAAATTATAAACAATCGTTGTCAATAAACCTACATAAATCATTAAAAATGCATGTCGGTTATTTTTTAATGAAAATACATAAAAAATATAATAACAGTGATAGATTGAATTTGTCACATTTAGATGAACAGTAAAGAAAAGTGCTTCTTTATGATCATTGCCTCCTACTGAAAAATGTCACTTTTTGATTCATTCGCTTAAAAACATATCGAGAAACGTGTAAGTATATTTTTATGTTATAGACTTTTAAAACAAAGGCTAAAATATGGGATGTCAGTAAGGCATTAACAAGAGCCAGTAATGTTTACGTTTTGCTGCGCCGCCATCGGTAGTTGAACTCGTGCATAGCAGCAAAATTAAAAGGCATCCATTTCATATTTTACAATTTTACATTTGATGTCAATGCCACTTTTTAAATGTCAAGTTTTGACGTTTGCAATTTTTCTAAATAGTACATTTGTAAGCATACCTATACAAATGAAACAATGAGTGTTGAAAATTAAATGTTCTATACACCTCTATAAGTTAGAGTTGACGCATTGGCGCAAATGTGGGCGTCAACTTCCAACCTTGAAACAGCTACTTTCACTGTATGGTTTTTGTATAAGTTGCATATTTGCATGACATTAAAACGACTTTGAAACTGAACTTGTAACAAGGTTATAATTTACAAATTGTAAGTAAACTTTAAAATAGAATCAACACTTAATAGTTAGTCGATAAAGGTAGTATAGGTACGTAGGTACGTAATTTATCAAAAATGCATGTACGTTTCTTTTCAATGAAAATATTTTAAACACTATAATGACAGTGACGAGTGCAATTTGTCATATTTACTTTTGCGCAGACTAAGCGCAAAAGTATGTGCTTAAAAGTAAAGCAAATAAATATTACTTTCTATTCGAATGAATCAAAAACCGTCATTTTTCGATCAGAAGCGATGATCAAAAAGAAGAAGTATGTGTGACAAATTTAGTGTCACTGTCATAATATTTTGAAAGTATTTTTATTAAAAAGTAACCGACAAACTTTTTTAATGAATTACGTAGCTTTATAGACAATTATTCATCATAATTTAACGTTTACTTACAATTTCTAAATTATGAGTTTGTCATCAGTTTAGTCTGAAAATCGTAGTTTAATCTAAAAAATAGCCATTTTTGTGCGCTGACCGATGTTGCCACACAGGAAGCACGACCTTTTTAAATAGCTCAAATTTCATGTAAAATATGCAACTTATACAAACACCATACGGTTAAAGCAGCACTAGAATTTTCAACACTCATTGTTTCACTTGTATATCCTTACAACAGTACGCTATTGAAAAATTACAAACGTTGAAACGTGACAATTTCAAAAATGGCTTTGATATCAAATTTTAAATATGAAGTTGACTCCTTTTATTTTTGACAATTCTTATTTATTATAACTTATGATTGGTGTTATGTCTTTCATTCGAATAAAAAATATGGTTCCATACGAGGGCGTAAATCCGTTTTTTGAACTCCTGTAGGATTGACAAACCCCGTCGTCGTTCGAAAACGACTCTTTTCGCCCTTGCATCGAAAACTATTATTTTGATTCATTCGGATGAAGGGACTTTTTATTTGGACTTTTAAGCCTGCTAAGGTACAATCTATACAAATTTCAGTTGACTGCAGATATTTTTAGTTTAAATGGATCATATGTTTTCTTATTTACGTTGATTGGGCACCGCGTTTTTTGATACCAATAAGTTCTAAACCTTGATCACATAGTTTTAAAGATCAATATCAATTTAATAAAATTATCTTATTCTTTATTCGCCTTTACCAGAATGCGTCTTATAGCAAAATTAAAATCGTAGTGTCACGAAAATTTAATACTTTGGGAAGGGAGGTCCCAAAACCCAACCGAAAACTAGTCGAGTCGATATTAGTAAAATATTACAACGATCTGAAGCGGTAATCACATACCAAGATTGATTTTTCATTGATGATTTTGTGAAAAAGCCATATTTTTTCTAAAATAGAAGAGTCAGTGTTCATATTTTTCATTTCTACATGAATTTATCATGAATTGTTAAACAGAGAAAAAACGGGAAAAAAGAACTAAAAAAAAGTCACTGTACAGGGTGATTTGAAATTGGCGACATTCCTCTGAAGGCGCTGTCTTCGGGTGTTCCGGGAGTACAGAAAAAAATATACAAAAATTAATTCTTATTAATAACTGAGATATTTGCAAAAAACTAGATCCGAAGGATGGCAACAATGTTTTCAAGATAATCTGCCTAATTAATATTACGCAAATACCTGTTGCTCTTAATTATTAAATATTGTATTAACCACGGGTAACCACAAAACAAAGAATGTGAAATTACTATGAAATATTTTGAGGTTTGGATAACATTGTCAATTTGCCGTCAGTGCTGTCCACCGTTTTGGGGCAAATATACCTAAATCTGTCATAGCTGTAGTTAGAAACCTCCTGTTAATGGCTATGTATCAATGATCAGTATCTATCAAGTAAAATACAAAGTTGTTATATCACAGGAGATGTTCGAAGTCCTGCCCGCTTAACTCCAAACGTATTTGTGTCCCAATCACTTTATCGTGCACTCTTGGTAGCAGTCTGGTCTCACACTTCGAGCAGTTTCTCGTATTCGATTAATTAATTCCTGCTCAATTTGATCCGGTGTTCGCAAGATCAGATATTTAATGTGTTCTAGTTCTAGTGTTCTGTGTATCTTATATACATGGTAGATATGTAGCCCTTCCTCGGCGGAATTATCGGGACAATTAACCGGTGCCTAATTAAAGTGTCAGTTGTTGTGCAATGCTCCGTGTTCTCCTGGAAAGCGCTGCTGCAAATAGAGATCAATATGCAATGAGAATGCAAGATCGTCCACCGTCTGCGTCAATTCATGGAGCCACTCGTCCAGTGTCTAGCCTTTTGCTGGTGTAAGTTCTTGCTAAACTTCTGCTATGTTACTTTGGCATTTTGTAAAAGAAGTTTCAAAGTGAGTCGCAGAAGTACAGGTTTTTTTCCGCAACGTAACAAGCAAACATTCCCAGGAACGATTTTGAACCTATTACATATTACATCTATTAAACAGGTTCAAAACCGCGCCTTAGAGTGTTGCGTTAGCTTGTGTCATAGGCAAAGAACCTATACTTGTGCCACGCATATGCGACTAATCAGTTAATAAACTATTATTATTATAAGGGTTTTGAGTACCTACACCACATAATACATACATTTACTATCCCAAATACAGAAAAATGCTTACCCATGTTCCTTAAGGATGGTCTCTACTTTGCCCGTGGATACACCCCAGATGTAAACGCTCCCATCTGATGATCCTACTGCCACGTACTGCCCGTCAGGGCTAAATGTGGCTCGGGACCAGTCACATCCAACTTTGAAACCTTCGCAACTGAAAATGAAAGACAGTTACTTCTTTAATAATTTGTACTATTGGGATTGATACTTTAGTAGTTAGTGCTATAATTACTGTTCCTCATCAAAAATTATTTTTAAGACGCAGACACAAATTAGGCATTGTTAACACACAATGGCTATTCCGTTGTACATCACCCTATTAAATATTTATTATTAATATTTGTAAGCCAATTCGATAGTGAAACAAAAATGAGCCGTAATAGCTAAATACAAAAGCTTCATATATTTTAAATTTTGCTGTAATTGTGATACAAAGCAACTTAAACAAATCTTTACGATTCTCGAATATTTTCGTTGACTTCTTCTTTTGCTTTAACTCCACATAATTAGTGTATATGCTCCAGATATTAACAAAAGCAAAGAAGAAAAAGGCTTATTCTATGAAACACTAGAGGAAGATGTAAGGAAGATACCAGTAACAGAGAAACTCCTTATAATCTTCTTATGTACGGTGTCCTTTCAGAACGTTGGTTACCAACAACGCTAGCCGTACTTTGTCCACGGCAGCTCTAAAAAGTGTGCGTAAATTCGTTTTGTAATGGGCGACCTAAACGCCAGAATTGGGAACAACATAATACCTGGAGTAAAACATCGACTTAACAAAGACCATCTTATCGAAAATGGTGAAGCATTGATAGACTTCTGCACCAGCCACAATATGGGAATAAATAACAGCTTCTTCAGACACAAATCGCAGCACAAAATCACCTGGAAAAATTCTCGAGGACAGAGCTCAACAATAGACTATATCATGTCAAATAGCGCCATACACCCAAATCAAGAATTAGACACCAGAAGTCTCACTTCCGCCAACATGGGGGCTAACCATTTCTTAGTTCTGTGTAAGCTCCGAATAAGAATACAAAGAAAGAGAACTCCTCCAATCATCGGCAAGGAACAATTCAATATAGAATCAGAGACCCGGCCACTAAAAAATTCTCCAGCAAGATAGCAGGTGCTCTACGATACGTAGTATGAAGCAACACACACATGGGGAAACAGGCTAAAATTTAGACCTATAAAACTTGCGTACGACCCGTACGGATACACGCTAAAGAAACCCGAGCAGACACCAGTCGAACGAAAAATATCCTGCGAACAACTGAAATGAAAATACTGAGAAATATAGTAGGATACACCCTAAGAGACAGGAAATGGATGACCACTGACATAAGAAACGAGTGCGAGATCGAGGACATAGTCAGATGGGGACGGAAGCGTCGTACAGCCTGGAATGACCACGTCACTAGAGCGAATATGGACAGGGTAGCAAAAATTGCTCGAGACGGGTTTCCACAGACACGTCGACCACTGGCACAAGGTACAAGGCTTAAAATGAGGAAGGAGAAGAAGCAGAAGACTTCTTCTTTTGCGCCTCTAAACACGACTGACATACATATCTATAGGCATATGTAACAAATGATCGAACATCCTAAATCGTCTTAGGTATGGGCAATTTACATGCTCCACCGAGGTATCGTGATCACCACTCGGAGTATCCGCATGGACGTCGTAGAATAAAACCCATGGATCTGGAGCGAAAACCGTCGCCGCGGAACAGCTCGTGGCACAAACCGCAAACCGCCTGCAGTGGCTCTCGTGGCTACGGCCTCGGGATAGGTACTGTAGGGGGCGCGGCTATCTTGGTTTTACTACCCGGATCGCGTGACGAGGTCACTACAACACCTCCCAATTCTCACGGTATAGTGCGCGCCAAGAGATGCAAGGATGGGGGGAAGCCCAGCCAAAAGCGACTAACCTTGAGGCAACAGGCGCACCTCATTGTATCAGCCTTATCCATACATGCGGGGCTCTGTGTGGATGGACCTAACCTTTCCCTAGCTACTCGTGGGAATGATGGCGAGGAAAACACCATCATCATACCATCACAAAATACCGGCGGGACTTCCTCAGAAGAACCGTTGGGCTCCGCAGCTGGTAAAGTACCGATGGGTGGTAACAAATTCTCGGGGGCCGCCAGGCGGAAACTAGACCCTCAGGGGAACCAGCACACCCCAAAAAAGCTGCCATGACCGGGACGCAAAAGCGACACCGGTCGGATGGCAGCACACCCAACAAGCCAGCACCTGGGCGGCTGTGTGTGGGAACTTCCGTACAGGAAAGAACTACACACAAGTCGTGCAAGGTTGCGTTTTCCGGGATTAAGATGGCCATAGCGGCGGTCGGATAGCCCGAGAAGAACTTTCTCCTCAGCTCTGCAGGGAGAACTCATAATAAGGCACCTGCTTGGGAAAATCGACTAGCTGCAGCCAGGGATGACTACCAGACTAGGACATGCGTCTTACATCATTAATACCATCATTTACGAATCCGCTTCCTACTACTGCAACCGGAACAACATTGATGACACTGCGTAGATCAACTCGTGTGCGAAAGCCACCCCAGCGATTTGGTCAAGAATCAGGCCAAGAGATTATCAGAACCGGATTCAAGTCGATTTCTTAGAGAGGGGAAGAAATGTTGTGTTCATCGTTTCACCTTTTAACTATTATTATTGTTCTTTTTACCTTATTTTTTATTTATCAATAATATGATTCTCATCGATTAAGAATTGTCACTCCAGATTGGAATATCAATAGATTTGGATCAATGACTTTTGACAATTTACAATCAATGAATTGTTTTAAAAGCAAAACTTTCACATTAATCAATAAAATTGTTCCTCCGCATTTCTCGGAATATTAATATCGATATTACTAATCTTGATTTTTAATGTTATTAAGCACAAAAACTACCATTTAGCCTAATGAAAATGTAAAGCAATGTCCTAAAGACTTAATAACATTACATATTCAATTAATAACATTACATATTCAAAGCAGATCTACTGTTTTAACAACGTTAAACATTGGTTTGTTTATTTATAATTCTTTTTAGTAGCAGTATATTTATTTTTTATTAGTGTACCAACCATAGCATACTGATTTGTTTTGCGTATTCGTGTTTTTCCCATATTTTATACCTAAAAAGTGATAATATTTTCACGTATACAGGATTATTCAAAAGAGCCGTCATTCCTTTAATGGGGTTATAGAAGCTTACTTGGAGTGTACGAGAAAAAAAAATATACAGGGTGTCGCAATAAAGAAGGTAAGCGACTGTATCTTGGAAAGTATGTTTCGTAAAGTGACGGAAAAAAAATTTCATAACAAACTTGGAACAAATAATTTGCTTGCTGGAAATTATTTTGAAATTCCTCAGATGACCATTAGATGGCGTAATTGCAAACGGTATTTTAAAAATTCGATTTTATACAGAAATTGTCCCTATAAGTGAAACATCTAGTAAGTTTAGTCAAAAGATAATAAAAAACYGTACTACTTTCCTTATGAACTTTTTTTCCTAACTTCAAATAAAATGTGGGGGAGAGTCAAACCGCTGGTAACAAGCAAACTTGTAACTCCGAAACGGCTTGAGCGATTTCAGAGTATTTACTATCAATTAAAAGAGCAATAAAAACTCCACAATATGGGATATAAAAGTAATCTTAATAATTTTCGAAAAATCCGCTGTTCTAAAAAAATTTCTTTGTTTTAATTGTTCACAAAAATTTCAAATGCTTCCATCAAGTTATTTTACACGCATTCCCGGTAGCCATTTGAATTAGGCAATCTTTGTTATTTTCAAGTATTAAATCGGTTCCAGAAATTATTTTAAGATGCGGTTTTTGCGGTTTGGTTCATTTTTTTCTTTGCTTTCGAATGCGCGTAAAATAATTTGATGGTAGCATGTGAAATTTTTATGAAAAATTAAAACAAATAAATTGTTTTGAAAGCGGATTTTTCGAAAACGAGTAAGATTGTTGTTATATCACATATTGTAGAGTTTTTATTGCTCTTTCAATTGATAGTACGAACTTTGAAATCGGTCAAGCCGTTTTGTAGTTACAGTTTTATTTGAATTAAGCGGTTTGACTCTCCCCCACCTTTTATTTGACAAGTTAGGAAAAAGTTCATAAGGAAAGTAGTAGTTTTTTTCTGATGTTTTGACTAAACGTACCACATGTTTCACTTATAGGGACAAATTATGTATAAAATCGACTTTTTAAAATACCGTTTGCAATTACGCCATCTAGTGGTAATCTGAGAAATTTCAAAATAATTTCCAGTAAATTATTTTCTTCAAGTTTGTTATAAATTTGTTTTTTGATCACTCTACAACACATACTTTCCAAGATACAGCCGCTTACCATCTTTATTGCGACACCCTGTATATGCTTTTTATAAAGATATTTATAGTTGAAAGAGGCGAACTGAAAATCGAATTTCAACTTTGTTATTAACACTATTTTGAAACGGTCTCATGCTTGATTTGTAGCTTATTGAAATGCATAAGCACTCGAAAAGAAAAGTTACTTTAGCTTGACGTCAAATTATGAACATTTAGATAGGACGGAAACAAAAGAAAGGAACACATGAAGGAAAAGCCAAAGCGACAACCGATGGTTTTTGTCATTAACAGATAATTACAGAAGCGGACCCCCATAACATCGGCAACTGCTCAGAGAAGGGTTGTATTGCATGAACACCTTCGATCAAAAACCTCGGCATCGAAGATGCACCTGGAAAACTCTTGACAGTGCAGTCAAAAACGAGATCGACTGTTTCCGTCATGCATAAGCTCATGTGCACCGATGTGATAGTCTTAAATCGCTTCAACACGTGAAGCGACCACAGACTAGCTGAGAGCGAAAATATGTTTCGATACTAGATCGGGAAGAAAGAAGCTGATGCTGAAGAGGCTGAGACCAGAGGGGACTGAGTTGGAGGCTCATGAGGAGATCAGCAGACAGATTGAACATAAATGAGAACCTCTGGAGAAGATCTGGAGTTAAATGAACTGACAGACAAAATCATCGAAAGTATCCGAGTTGCCACAAAGAAAGTTTGGCAGGCAACAAAACTCGAAGTTTACGCCCGACACGACCAAATTTATGGAAGAATGCAGGGTCATGGTTCCGATGCACCGGAGTACCGCCAGCTGGACAAACTTAAAAAGCTATCCTAGTCCAAGCCAGTAACTCTCGAGAAGGCACTTCTCACTCTCTTTAGTAGGTGCCTCGAAGAAGGAAGGATTCCAGGGACATGAAGAAATGCTGAGGTTACCATCTTTTTCAAGAAAGGCGACTATACAAACATCGAGATTTACCGGCCTTTAGGATTAGCTTCTTCTCCGTGTTATACAAGCTCTTTACCAAACTAATCACCAACCGTCTCACCAACAAGTTCTGCCAACCTGTAGAACAAGCTATATTCAAGAACCGTACATGATAGGGGTACACCACCTTGATCGAGAAATGCATTGAATACAACGTCCCATTACACCGGGCGTGCGTCGATTACCAGCAAGCTTTCGATTCTGTGGAGATCTGGGCAGTTCTACATGCGATGGACGCAGCGCGGATTGACTCAAGATACTCGAATCTAATCGGAGATAGATATGCTACTCTCCACGTTAAAGCTGCCGAAGACTCAGTTACCGGGACGATCCCTATTAAAGGAGGAGTTAGACAGGTGATGCTATATCGCCAAAACTGCTACACGACGTGTTTCAAAACCTAACATGTGAGAGGAAAGGCATCAATATCCGTGGGCCTGGGGACGAACCTCCAAAAGACTAAAATCATAAGTCCAGGTGACATCGAGGTCACACTGGAGAACCACACGCTTGAGGTAGTTGAAAAGTATGTCTACCTTGGCCACAACATCAAGCTTGGCAGGGACAACCAGACAGCAGAATCTAACAGGCGCATTGGCCTGACGTGGGCGGCTTTTGGAAAACTTGACCACATCCTCAAAGCACCAGACATGCCCATCAACCTGAAGCGGAAAGTATTGGACGCCTGCATCTTACCTCTGTTATTACCTACGGCCTTGAAACTATAACTCTGACACAAAACAGGGCGAACCGACTCAGAGAGTGTCAACGGGCAATGGAACGGCCGATGCTGGCGATCAGCTTGAGGGACCGAGTCAGAAACGATATTATCAGAGAAGCAGCTAGAGTCGTTAATGTTAACAAACGTATTGCCATTAATAAAAGGGGCTGGACCGGGCACGTCGCCAAAGATGACATCAAATGAACCAAGATCATCATGCAGTGGCGGCTCAGAGAAACTAGACGAAGTGTGGGGCGGCCACCAGCCCCACAAAAAAGCTGCCATGACTGGGACGCAAAAGCGACACCGGTCGGATGGCAGCACACCCAACAAGCCAGCACCTGGGCGGCTGTGTGTGGGAACTTCCGTATAGGAAGGAACCACACACAAGTCGTGAAAGGTTGCTGTTTCTGGGATTATGATGGCCATCGCAGCGGTCGGATATCCCGAGAAGAACTTTTCTCCTCAGCAGGGAGAACTCATAAAGAGGCACTTGCTTGGGAAACTCGACGAGCTGCAGCCAGGGATGACTACCAGACCAGGTCATGCGTCGTACCTCCCCCCCCAAGATTCTTCTGGAATTCACTGAACACACAGGGATAATGAGGAGTAAAATACGAGGGCACAATAGGGCAGAAATGACCGCGGTGCAAAGCCAAACACCACCTCGGCGGGGAGGAAAGGGTTAAGTGGGTAACAGCTTAGCTGGAGTCCCACACAACCCAGAGCGACAGACCACCAGCTCTGGGAGTGCTGAAAAAAATATTGCGAACAGTGCACAATAACGTGATTACACTGGCCCAAACATGTTTAGAGTCAAATGGGAAGAACCTTGAACAGCTCTTGTGAGTTGTCCACCTTTCAAAGCATGAATTGCAAATAGATCATTAGCCGTAACTTCTGATTGGAGACCTTTGGTGGCATTGGCTCAGCCGGTTATCCTAACCTCTTTCACTGTCACTTTCACTTTATGCGTTTATCTATGGTTACTTGAGCTTTTTATATTTAAGAAGCAACAGGTATTTACGTAATGCTAATGATGCAGATTACCTTGAAAACCATTGTTGTCGACCTTCTGATCTAGTTTTTTGCAAATATTTCAATTTCGACAAGAACTACTTTGTGTACTATTTTGCCTGTACTCCCTAAACACCCACAGACAAAATCCTCAGACGAAAGACGTCAATTTTGAATTACCCTGTATATTATACTTAGATAACAATTCTCTATTAAACTTACCTAAATGATTTTACTACTTGATTCATTCTTAGATCAATCAGCTTCAGAGTGTCATCTCTAACACAAGCTAATAGGTATTTTGTATCTGAAAATATATCAGATTAATATTCAGCGTGTGGCACTGGAAAGTTACAATTTTGTAATATTTAAGGGTTCGTACCTCTAGCTAAATCTAAGGACGTCACTTTCCCATTTAGAACAATATTGTTCGCACTGGATTCTGACCTGCAGTCCCAAAATCGAATTGTTTTGTCAAAGTGGCCGCTGATTATTGTTGAACCTGCATTGTCAACAGTCACCAAGTCATTACAACTAGATCCTGCAAACTTGGTCTCAATACCTACAAAAAATAGAACGGATGTTATTACTAAATCGCAGGTACGTACGCATCGCGACCAGAACAGGCTACACTTCAAAATGCATAAAAAGTATCGATTTGTTCAATTAAGACTTAAGTATTATATACATTATATTACAATACACATCACAATTAATTAGTATTACCCTTTCTTCATGTTTTGGTATCATAATCTTTATATATCATAATAATCAAACATATTATACAGGGTGAGTTTTTTTTCGATGACTAGTACAGGGATCTTCGAAACTAGAGCAGTTACGCAGAAGTCAAATGGACAGAGAATTGTAATTTAGCATGCTCTACCCGAAGCGAATTTTATTTATCTGAAATTTGACAGCTGTCAAGAGATATTTGAGAAAAACTTATTTATGGTAATTGGATATTAATTTGACAGGAACACGTCAAATATAAAATTTGTAGGAAATTGAATTCCAAGCAAAATCGCAAAAGACATTTCTCCAAAATAACTGTCATTTTTGACATATGGCACAGATTTGAGTTTTTTTAAATGGCAATCATACTTTATTATTGCCTTATCGAATAGAGCATTTTGTTACGATTACTGTCATATATCACATCGTTAGGTTATTTTTCGAAAATAACGCGTCTGCGAATAATTTATATTTTTTCAATTTAGTTAGGCATGGAATATAGTATAAGACATACAGCATTGTTTCCATAGTAACAAATAATAACAGTACGCTTCAATATTTATTTTGACAACCACATTAAAGTTGGCAATAACTTTATTTTAATTAAGACGGCTGCTTATTTAAAGTGTTTATTATAAAAATCAAATCATACCAATAATAATTAAACTTTAACTCTGGAAACTTTAATTTTTATTGTAAAACATTTTCAAAAAGTCCACTATTATTATCAATGCAAACATTGCAACGCTTTAAAATTGAATAAGTTGCTTTTCTTGCTGACCGACCTTAAATATTTGCAAATGTCCAAGGTGAAAGATCCAAAGGTGAAAGATCCGCTGATCGAGGTGGCCATAAAATAGGACCGTTTAGTGCGATCCAAGCCCCAGGAAAGTTACGTCCAGGCGATTCCGCACTTGGAAAAAATGATGCGGATGGAGCGCCATCATGTGGAAACCGTTGCACATTACGCCATGTTTCTAAATCTAAGTCGTCCAACATAAAATCCAGGTTATTTCCAAGGAATTGAAGATACCGACTCCCATTACAGCTGTCTTCAAATATAAATGGTCCAAGAATTTTTGAACCTACCATTTGTGGTGGAGATTTGTTTGATCCCAAAGATGTTCATTGTGTCGATTGAACAAACCACAAGTTGAAAATCGAGTTTCATCCGCCCACAATATTTTATAACGGAATTGGATGTCTTGTTGGCATTTGCTTCGGAACCATGTAGAAAAATTCACACGCAGCTCCTCATCCGGTGGATGTAAAGTTTGGGATACTGATAATTTATGCGGATTGAATTTGTGTTTTTTTAAACTCTGATCACGGTGCTTTAGGAAGTGCCGGATTCTGCTGCGATCTCTCTGGTTGAAATCTGTGGATTCTGGCTTACAATGGCTAAGACATTAACTTCCACAGCTTCATTTATGACTTCATCTTGATTTCTCAGCTTCTCATTCTTCATTTCTCAGCTGCGCAAAACTTCCATAAGTGCTCAAATTGTCGTTTAATTGTTTGAATTATTTCAAGGACGGTTAACGACGGTCAAAATAGTAATCAGAGGCTCGTCTAGCAGTTTTATCACATATAATGTAGGTTTTAATCACGTCGCTTGTTTCTGGATTGGAATAATTCATTTTTACAATAAAATTAACTTAGATTTCTAAGTTGAATTTAAACTTGAACGTCAAAAATTGGAAGATGTTATTATTTCACATGTTTCCATAGCAACAATGCTATGTCTTAAACTATTTTCCATGGCTAACTTCGATCAAAGAAAAAGTATAAATTGTTCACAGACACGTTATTTTCCAAAAAATCCTAACGGTGTGATATCACAGAAATCGTAATAAAATGCTCTATTCGGTAAAGCAATAATCAAGTTTGGTTGCCACTAAAAAAAACTCAAATTTGTGTCATATGTCTAAAATGCCAGTTATTTTGGAGAAATGTCTTATGCCATTTTGTTTGGAATTCAATTTCCTACATGTTTTTTATTTAATGCTTTCTTGTCAAATTAATATCAACGGAACTAGGAGTAATTTAAATTTACCATATATAAGTTTTTTCCAAATATCTCTTGACAGCTGTCAAATTTTTGAAAAATTAAATTGGTATCGAGTATAGCATTCGAAACTACAATTCTTTGTCCATTTAACCTTTTTCGTAACTGCTATAGTTTTGAAGATCCCTATACTGGTCATCGAAAAAGCTCACCCTGTATATATCTACAGATTCTTATAATATGACTGATTTAATAATAAATCTCTTTTGTTCTTCTACGCCAAAGGGTGATCAGGTTTTATAATCTTCAATGGATTTATTTATACAGAAAAAATTTCTGTTTCTCCCCAGTCCTCTTGACTTTTTATTTGTCAGATGGTTAAATAAGACCGGAATTCTATACCGGATTACAAAATAAAGAAAATAATGCAGTTTGCAAAAGAAGGCGACACAATACAGAAGAGTTTGAAAATGGAACAAGTCACAAAATTGCCAGTATTCCTTCGAATGTACTTCTAAATTCATTAGCAATTTTGTTCAGCGACTTCGCATATACCGCCATTATGGCTCTGCTTCGCCTCGGGGGTCAACTTCTCTTGTACTCTATATTATTTTTCTTGACCCTCGGTGGAAACTAGCCGGGAAAAGTACAAGGTTTAGAAAACGGCTTTCAAAATGTTGTCTAAACAGTCAGTGACAAACAGTCAAGCTGTCAGCGTCCATGACGCATGTTACTAGTTTCCACACGGAATGAAGAAAAAAAAAAATAGAAATTTAATTGCATAATGGGCGGAAAAATAAATTGTCATTGTCATCTCATTGTAATGAGTAAAACTGATTTTTTTGCTATCGAGAACAGTAGCAAAACTGTGTACTTTCCATCAAGAGATCAAGAAGTTAACTTTGCTTCATCCCATGTGGAAAGTAATAACTTCCGCCACGCACGCTGACAGCTTGACTGTTTGTTACTGACGGTTTTGACAACATTTTCAACGCCGTTTTTTCAAAACCTTACAGTTTTCCCGGCTGGTTTCCACAGCCACTGCGTTCATGATGCCTAAAATATTTTTAAGATGGACACACTTCCGGTTATACCGGAATTTTTTTAAAATGAAACACCCTATATGTTATTACATTTTTGAATTCTACTTCAAATTCTAAATGTATTTAATTTATAATATCCTATTCCTAAGTCTAACCGTTTTCGAGATATTTGAAATTTTATGTAAAAAATGACAGTTGCAGCCACTCGAATAATTCTTTATTTTTCCTATAAGGGAATTTCTCATACTTAATTTGAGTCGCATTTATTGTTGAAAAGGACTTACTTTAATGGAATTTCGACAAAATTTAGATAAATAGGAAACGGCAGAAATTTATTAACATACTCTTTTTTAGGTTCTTTTGATAACGATAGCAGAAAATAGCTATCGACACGTCAAGGTAATTTTTTAAATTAATTTCTCTACTAATTGGAATTTTCTCTTACAGCTTGAGCCTAAGTGTGTCGCAGGATACCCTCTAGGTGATAGTTCTTGATTACTTT